CTTAAAGAAACGGACGAAAAGACTCTTAAATTCCTTGTAAAAGGCTAGAATAACTTTAATTTCAAAACCAGAAAAGGAAATTACAAAAGAGGAAAACTATGGGGTAGTTTTTAAACAAAGTATCAGCATACCACACCCAATATTATGGTAACATAACCATTCTGATAAATCTGAATATTTTCTAGGAATCCAAGAGTAAATCAGCACTAGAAAAATCTGTAATTCACCAACCCACCGTATTAAACAAGAAAAATGAATTAAAAATAAGATGAAGAAAAATGAATTTTTCAGGATTTCTTCAGTCTTAAAAAAACAGATAACTACATAAACAAACAAACAAAACCCCAATCCTTCAATGGCAAGGAACTCCATTAACCTAATGAAGGGCACATCTACAGCTAATACTGCATGATGAAATATGAACACATTCCCTTTATAATTATGAACAAGTATGCATACCATCACTTCTAGTCAACACTGTACTGAAAAACTTGACCAAGAACAGAAAAACAAGAGAAAATAAAAAAGATATAAACACTGGAAAGGGAGAAATAGATTTTCATTATTTGCAGGCAATATTTGTGTCTACCCAGCACCACCCCCACCAAAATCTGCAAATAAATTATTGAAATTAAGTAATTTACCCAGGTTATCAGATACAAAATCAATAAACAAGTCAACTGTGTTTCCATACATAATCAGCAATTAGAAAATAATAATCTTAGAATTTACTGAGCAGTTGTAACCAAATTCCAGCAGAAACTTTTTAAAAATAATTTTATATGGAAGCATATATTCAAGAATAGCTAAGACACTTCTGAAAAACAACATGAAAGGACTTACCCTACTAAATATTAAGAGTTGTTACAATGATAACCCTATATGCAAAACAGAAAAAGAGACTCAGATGTACAGAACAGACTTTTGGACTCTGTGGGAGAAGGCGAGGGTGGGATGTTTCAAGAGAACATCATCGAAACATATAGGGTGAAACAGATCACCAGCCCAGGTTGGATGCATGAGACAAGTGCTTGGGCCTGGTGCACTGGGAAGACCCAGAGGGATCGGGTGGAGAGGGAGGTGGGAGGGGGGACTGGGATGGGGAATACATGTAAATCCATGGCTAATTCATTTCAGTGTATGACAAAAACCACTGCAATGTTGTAAAGTAATTAGCCTCCAACTAATAAAAATAAATGAAAAAAAAAAAAAAAGAGTTGTTACAAAAGTATGGTTATTAAGATAGGTATTAAGATAGGTATTACATCACAGAAGAGACAAATAGATCAATGAAACTGAAAAGAGAGCCAAGAAATAAACCCAGGTGTCCATGCATATGTAAGATAGCTGCATTTCATCAGGGGGTGGGGGTAAGTCCAACATACGGACATGGGACAACTGGTTGCTGACATGGAAAAAAAGTGAAATCAGTTTCCTGCCTCACGCCATGCATGAAAATAAATTCCTAGTAGGATAAAGACTTAAATACAAAAAAGCCAAACTATAGACCTTTAAGGAGAAAATATAGGAGAATATCTTTAGGACCTTAGGGTTGGGAAGGCTTTCTTACAGAAGACTACAAAGCACCGGTAATAAACAAAAGGATTAAGACAAGAAGATAACATTACAAATTTGTTTACCAAAAGATACCTTTCCTTCGAAGCTCTGAAATTGTACAATCGGATACATGATTTTATTCTGTCTACTGCTGAAGGTAATTTTATTTTAAATTTTATTTTTGGCTTTATTTTTATTTTGGGTCTTCTTGCTCTGTGGGCTTTTCTCTAGTCGCAGCGAGTAGGGGCTACTTTCCAGTTGCAGCACAGAGGCGCATCACTGCAGAGCCTTCTCCTGTTGCTGAGCACGGGGTGGATGGGCATCAACAGTTGTGGCACACGGGCTCAGTGGTTGAGTCCACTGGCTCGGGCACAGGCTCAAAAGCTGAGGTGCACAGGCTCAGCCGCTCTACAGCATTTGGGATCTTCTTGGACCAGGGATCGAACCCATGTCTCCTGCACTAGCAGGTGAATTCTTTACCAATGAGCTACTAGGGAAGCTCTGAAGACAGTTTTTTAAGAAAGACACCATAAGAGTGACAAAAACAGCTCACAAAGCTAGCTTGTATGGCTGATGTCTTAAGTGACATCTTGGGCCTACATAGTTCCTCCAGTCTTTCTGCTGACCCTACCCAGGACTTGTATGGGGTAAATCGCTCTCTATTGTCAGGGGCTCAGTAGTTGATAGATACTGTTTAATAATCATTAGGATCAGGTGACCCCTAAATTGTTCAGTACTCTTAAACAAGGATGAAAACCTTAGCTGACATATTCCCAGCTGCCATGAGACCAATTAGTTAGTTAAGTCACTCAGTCGTGTCCAGCTCTTTTTGACCCCATGGACTGTATTCCACCAGGCTCCTCCATCCATGGGATTCTCCAGGCAAGACTACTGGAGTTGGTTGCCATCCCCTTCTCCAGGGGATCTTCCCAACCCAGAGATCAAACCCAGGTCTCCTGCATTGCGGGCAGATTCTTTACTCTCTGAGCCACCAGGGAGGCCTAGGAATACTCAAGTGGGTAGCCTATCCCTTTTCCAGGGAAACTTCCCAACCCACGAACTGAACCAGGGCCCCCTGCATTGCAGGTGGGTTCTTTACCAGCTGAGCTACCAGGGAAGCCCACACACCTTCATACCCTAGGTTAACTATAAAACTGTCCCAGCGGCCCCCTGGCAGTGTGGAGTACAGCTGCCAATGCTTCCTGATGGCTGTGTGCCGGACCCCAGTCTGTAAGTCACCCTGTGATAAACTGACTGTATGAACGTCCCTGCCTCACTTTTTCCGTCTCAAGATGCCTTCGCAGTTCAGTAACCACTTGTCACTTCTGTCATCCTCAAACAGAGCTATTTGCCACACATACACAACTTAAAATAAGGCATAGTGGTCAAATATATGTAAAGAATATAGATAAGCAAGACAAACAATCCAGTAAGAAAATGAAGATACATTTCACCAGAAAAATAAAAAAACTTTTGAAAAGATGTTTCATTTCTCTAACCAGAGAAATGCAAAATCATAATGAAATACTATTTCAACACCCTACACACAAAAATTAAATTTTCTGATGCTATCAGATGTTGGCAAGTATTTGGAGAAAGAGGAACTCTGATATACTGCTGGGAGAAGTATAAATTGCCAGTAGGAATGAAAAATGCCTTTACGATTTGGCATCACATTGTAAAACTGAACAAATCTTTACCACATAGTCCAGGAATTCAACCTCTTGTACAAGTGCACCCACATATACACCAGATGTGTAGCAGCCAAACCTGGGGCTTCCCGAATTACACTATGTCTACTGAGAGGGGGAAAGGAAAAAAGTATGATGTGTGTGTCTTTAATTGCTAAGTTGTGTCCGACTCTCTTGTGACCCCAGGGACTGCCAGGTTCCTCTGTCCATGGGATCTCCCAGGCAAGAATACTAGAGTGGGTTGCCATTTCCTTCTCCTGGGGATTTCCCCCACCCAAGGATGGAACCCACGTCTCCTGCTTGGCAGGTGGATTCTTTACCACAGAGCCACTTGGGAAACCCCCTACAGGTTATGATACACTCTCACCATTTACTAATTACAACATCACATAACAATATGGATGGATTTCAAAACAATGTTGGTTGAAAAAATCAAGTAAAACAAATACAAAAGGCATGAAGTCATTTCTATAAAGTTACACAACTGCAAAACGAAGCAGCACACAGCTCAGCAATGGAAACATTCTATTTCTTAAACTGGAGAATGGGTTCATAAATGTTGGCTTTGCTTCTTCACTCATATATGTTGTATAAGTTTTTGGTATGAAACACTTGTTAAGCTTTTAACCTTAGCAAAAAATGGATGTTGAATAAACCCACAGCAAAATTTTATACAGTTATTACTTTGAGGTTTGCATAGCAAGGGGGCTTTTACTTTCCATATTATTCATTTCCAGACCATTTACAATTTTTACAATCAGCAAGTGGTATGTCTGGGTCATGTACACACTACTATATTCAAAATGAATAACCAAAGACCCATTGTTTAGCCAGTCGAACTGTACTTAATGTTATGTGCTAGCCTGGATAGGGCAGGAGGGGGTGGTTTGAGAGAGAATGGATACATGTTTATGTATGACTGGGTCCCTTTCCTGCTCCCTTGACACTACCACAACATTGTTAATCCGCTATACACTAATAAAAAGTTTAAAGTCTCAAAAAAATACAAAAACAAAAAGCAGTATGTCTGGGGAGAAATGATGATAGAAATGAAAACAAGCTATATATAAATAAAAACATATATATATATGTATGTATGTATGAAAGCAAACATCTTGGGCCCATTAGGATGCCGGCTGGAACTGTTTTCCACTTTCAATTTCTCCAGGATGTCCTAAATTAAAACTATGCTTAGAACATTCTGTGGGTTAAGGCTGTAACATATATCGAGAAAAACTGTCAACAAAAAGGGCTTTAAAAAAAAAGTCTGTTTTTTACTGAAAGCATGCATACTTTAATAGTCTCCTGGCTTCATTTAATTTTTATTATACTTTTTTGCCTTGGACTACTTTTCCAAAATTCAGTGCTCTCCCATATTTTGTACTGCAAGCTGCCATAAATCCTTTCCGACGTAAATACCCTTAGTAAACGACGGGTGCACTGCCACAGGGCCCGCTTATCCGCACTGTGCACGCGCACTAGCGCGCGGCGCGCCCTCCAGGACCCGGAACTTCCGCCCCCCTTGGTGGCCAGTGCGGCGGCCGGCGGGCCCTGTGACCGTGCCGCTCGGGTTCCACCTGAGCCCGGGAGGGAAGGACCCGCCAGCGCACGAGTCCGCTAAACAGGGAGGCTCCGCGTTCCCGGAGGCCCCCGAGACGGCAGCACACCGCCGCCCCGCCGGACGCGTTTCTCTCGGGGCTTGGGCCTTCGCGACCCTGCCCGCGACCTCGGCCCCGGGCCCGGGCGCCTTACTTGCCGCTCTCCACGCTGTAGCCGGGACGCGGCCCAGCAAAGAAGCGAGGCCTAACGCAGCCATGGAATCCACTCCCGCGGCGTCCGCAACGGCCTGCCCTGAGGTGTTAGCGGGTCGCGTCGTCCCGGCACGCCCCGCGACTGGGGCGGGGCTGCGTGCTGCCGGGGGCGGGGCGGGGGCGGGGCCTGAAGGGCGGCGCGCTCTCTGGCGCGGAGCTGGCCTCTCTGGGGTGCGGAGCAGCCCTGGAAATCCGCGCTCCGGCCCTGGACGGTCTGCAAGAAAAAGTGGAACAGCTCAGCCTTTTCTTGAAGAACAACCCAAACTACCCTTAACCCCATGTTGATGAAAACCTCAAATTGTGTCTGAAGGTGGATCCCCCCAAACGGAGGGAATGCCTTCGTTTGTTCATCTTAATCTGTTTGCTTCGCCTCAACTTGAAGGTGGTCTCTTGGGAGCTCGCTGTTCCAGGCCACAAAGATTGGGCACCTGCTGCTCTTTGCTCGTGCAATAGGTTTCTTTCTCCTCAGTTCTCTCGCTCTAATTTTTTACATGTCTGCTTATTCAGTGAACTCGCACCCACTTACCGGGCGGACTGGAAGATGCAGTTTGAGTGCAGCACCGAGCAGAAGGCTCTCGTCTGGTCCAGCTGCAGGGAGGTAGAACTGTGCCTCTGCGTTCCTGGTCCAGCGGCTCCAGTGACGTTCGGAGAACGTATGGCAGGGCAGGAGGCTTCATATGGCCCGTGGAGGTCTACACAGAATCACAGTGGCGTCCCTTTGAGAGAGAGAGAGAGAGAGAGAGAGAGAGATTATTATATTTAATATATATTATTATTATATATAAATAATATATAAAAAACAACAATAATAATATATAATATAATATATATATATATTTTTTTTTAGCAAAGTTTTTGTCTTGCTCTTGGGCCCATTACTTTGCCATCAAAGTTCCGTCTAGTCAAGGCTATGGTTTTTCCAGTAGTCATGTATGGATGTGAGAGTTGGACTATAAACAAAGCTGAGCACCAAAGAATTGATGCTTTTGAACTGTGGTGTTGGAGGAGTGTGGATGCTTTGGACTGCAAGAAGATCCAACCAGTCCATCCTGAAGGACATCAGTCCTGAATACTTATTGGAAGAACTGATGCTCGAGCTGAAACTCCCATACTTTGACCACCTGATGTGAAGAACTGATTTGTTTGAAAAGACCCTGATGCTGGGAAAGATCGAAGGCAGGAAGAGAAGGGGACGACAGAGGGTGAGATGGTTGGATGGCATCACAGACTCAATGGACATGAGTTTGAGTAAGCTCTGGGAGTTGGTGATGGACAGGGAGGCCTGGCGTGCTGCAGTCCATGGGTTGCAAAAAGTCAGACATGACTGAGTGACTGAGCTGAGCTGAACTTGGCCCTGGTAATGTCTGACCAAGTAACATCACATGGCTGCAATCTGAGTTCTCTGAATGAGAGACATCTGTTTCTCCTAGATAAGGACTCCTTTCACCAAGATGAAGTGGTATTTTCAGAAAGGCCCAAAGCCAAAACCCCAGCAGGTTTCATTAACAAGTAGCTCGGTAGGTTGCACACACACCTTTTCACCCTTAGTTCATATTTACAGCTTGATGATGAGTTCCATGTGACCACTTGATCGAGGAAAAAAACTCAAAATTAATTACAGAGGGTTTTGCTCAATATACTGACCAGCTGGCAAATGACTGCTTTGGTAGTTCGAGCCCCATTTTATAGGTGCCTTGAAGAACAGCAGAGACAAAAAAAGTAAAAATAAATCCTCCCAGAGGGAAGGACTTTATCTTATACTCTGCCTGGAAGGAGACAGAACTTGAGATAAAGATATGCATCATTTCATGGGCACTGAAACAAGTGATGAGGGACTGGGAAAATGTAAAGGTTTTGTGATACTTTTTTGGAATTAGGACATCTCCAAATGACATCAAAGCATAACATTTGGGTCCCACTGAATGCTCAAAAGAAGGGTCCTGTTGCAAAAGGGCTTTTGCAGAACGAGATTCAGTTCAGTTCAGTTGCTCAGTCATGTCCAATTCTTTGCCAGGCTTCTGTGTCCATCACCAACCCTGGAGCTTGCTCAAACTCAGGTCCATACAGTCTGTGATGTCATCCCACCATCTCATCCTCTGTCATCCCCTGCTCCTCCGCCTTCAACCTGTCCTAGCATCAGGGTTTTTTCTAGTCACATTAGGTGGCCAAAGTATTGGAGCTTCAGCTTCAGCATCAGTCCTTCCAATTAATATTCAGGACTGATTTCCTTTAGGGTTGACTGGTTTGGTCTCCTTGCAGTCCAAGGAACCAAGTCTTCTCCAACACCACAGTTCAAAAGCATCAATTCTTCAGCACTGAGTTTTCTTTATGGTTCAACTCTCACATCCATACATGACTACTGGAAAATCCAAAGCTTTGACTACAGAAAAAGATTACTGTAGGTTATCTATTGCTACCTAACATACCAACATTTTGTGGCTTAAAACAATAAACATCTATTCTCTTACTGCTTTTGTGCCTCTGGCTCTAGGTATTAAATGAGATTGCAGTCAAGCTGTGAGCTGGGTTCGTGTCTCACATGGAGGCTTGATTATGGGAGGATCGGCTCCTGAGCTCACCCACCTGATTATTGGCAGGTATTAGTTCTTTGCAGTTTTTGGACTGAAGACCTTCCTCAGTTCCGCGCTATATGGGCTTCTCCAGAAGTCATCTTACAACATGGCAGCTGAGAGTCCATGAACAAGCGGGAGAACAATGGAGACTGCTGGAGATGGAAGGCACAGTCCCTTTGTAATCTCACCTCAGAAGTGACGACCTATCACTTTTGCTGAATTCTTAATTAGCAGTGAACCAGCAAACACAGCCCATGTCAGAGAGAGGGGATTACACCAGGGGAGAATGCCAGCAGGGGGGGGATCGCTGAAGGGATTCTTAGCGGCTGGTTACCACCGCGACAACTCTGTAGGCATCAGTCAGTCTCTGCCCCTCACGACAGCTGTGCTTGTTTAGTGCATCCCTGACAAGGCAGCCACAGTGGCATGGAGACATGACTGTATTGTTAATATAGTTTCACCCTGGCCAAGTCTGATGGGCTAGCACCACTACTTGCAAAGACAAACCCAATCTTGATACAGTATGGAACGGCCTGAGTGGTGGCTCTTGACTATAAGTGACTCTACTATGATGAGTGAAGTGAAAGTTGCTCAGTCGTGTCCGACTCTTTGCGACCCCATGGAATTCTCCAGGTCAGAGTACTGGAGTGGGTAGCCTTTCCCTTCTCCAGGGGATCTTCCCAGCCCAGGGATTGAACCCAGGTCTCCTACATCTATGATGAAGGAGGTAGCAATTTGCTGTATAGGAATAAGCAATTATTTGGGGTTTGGATTGTTATGCCTGACTTGTGCTTCTTTTATGCACTTCACCTGTGGACTTACTGAATAACTTACATTCCATACACTTCATGTCACCTCCCTTACAAAACTGTTTCTTACCAAAGAACTCACTGATGACTGTGGGTACAGAGGCCTGTGGGATAAACCAGCTTCATCACATGTCCTATCATCAGCCCAGAAGCAACTGGTCTTGTAGGACAGCCCCATGTGAGAAAAATACACTTTGGGATCCTGTCCTACAGGATTTGGCATATGCTTTAAATGAATTAACCGTGTTCAGTGGTAGCTCTCATGTTGACAGAGTAACGGTGCCCCAGGAGTAGCGGAGGGATTGATGCCTTGCTGTGACATCTGACAGCTCTGGGAAGACACTTCCATGGGTCGAGCATTCCTGCGTATCACTGCTGAGCATGCCAACTGCAGCTTCATTGCCTGGCAGGGCAGTTTCTCTAGATGGTCACATGGGCCTCTAAGTAGGTCAAGGCAACCACAGCATCACTACTATTTAACTGCTGCTTTCCTGGAGGAAAGACCTGGATTGTGTGTTGTCAGGTAAAAAAAGAGCCCTGGGTTGCTTTTCTCTAATAATCAGTGATGTTGAACATCTTTTCATGTGCTGTTTTGGTCCATCTATGTGTCTTCTTTGGAGAAGTGTCTATTTAGATTTTGTGCCTATGTTTTGGTTGGGTTATTTGTGGGGTTGTTTGTTTTTTGACATTGAGCTGCATGAGGGAGGTGTTTGTATATTTTGGATATTAATCTCTTGTCAGTTGCTTGATTTGCAAATATTTTCTTCAATTCTGAGGGTTGTATTTTTGTTTTGTTTATGGTTTTCTCTGCTGTGTAAAAGTTTTTGTTTAATTAGATCCCAATTTTTAAATTTTTGTTTTTATTTTCATTACTCGAGGAGGTGGGTCAAAAAAGATCCTCCTGCGATTTATGTCAGAGTGTTCTGCCTGTTTTTTTCTAAGAGTTTTGTATTGTCTGGCCTTACATTCAGGTCTTTAATCCATTTAAATTTGTTTTTGTGTATGGTGTGAAAGTGTTCTAATTTCATTATTTTATATGTAACTGTCCAGTTTTCCTAGCACCACTAATTGAAGAGACAGCCTTTTCTTCATTGCATATTCTTGCCTCCTTTGTAATAGATAAGGTACCATAGGTGCATGGGTTTATCTTTGGACTTTCAAATATGTTTCATTGATTTATTTGTTTCTTTTTGTGCTAGTACCATACTGTGATTACTGTAGCTTTGTAGTATAGTCTGAAGTCAGGGAGTCTGATTCCCCCAGCTCCATTTTTCTTTCTCAAAATTAGTTTGGCTATTCAGGGTCTTCTGTGTTTCCAGAAAAATCGTAAGTGAAAATCAAAACTACAATGAGGTATCATCTCACACTGATCAGAATGGCTATCATCAAAAAATTGACAAACAATAAATACTGGAGAGGATGTGGAGAAAAGGGAACAATCCTACACTGATAGTGGGAATATAAGTTGGTACATCCACTATGAAGAACAGTATGGAGGTTCCTTAAAAAACAAAAAATAGAATTACCATATGATGCAGCAATCCCACTCCTGGACATATATCCAGAGAAAACCTTAACTGGAAATGATAGGTGCACCCCCAGTGTTCACTGCAGCACTATTTACAGTAGACAGGATGTGGAAGCAACCTAATGTCCATCAACAGAAGAACGGATAAAGAAGAAATGGTGTGTATATAATGGAATATTGCTCAGACATGAAAAGAACAATATAAACCATGGGAAGTCTACTCAATATGCTATAATGGCCTACATGGGAATAGAATCTAACAAAAAATAAAAGTGAGTATATAACTGATTCACTTTGCTATACACATAAAACTAATACAACATTGTGTATCAACTCCAAAAAAAATTTTTTTTTTAATGGCTTGGGTCTCAGCCCTGGATTCCTCTCCCTTAATGCAACCCAAATGCTTGGCCCTGGACCTGCACTGGGTGGACATGCGCCACCTGTCTGTCTGCATCGCCATGGGAGCTGAGGTTCTAGCAACTGCTGTTAAGGTGTGGACACTTTGGCCATGACTTTGCTGTAATCAAGTTTCTTGTCTCTGACGCAGGAGTCTCCTGCCTTCAAGCATCCATGGAACTGCAGCAAGCAAGATGGCAAGTAAGACAAACACAGTCTCAGACCCTCACTGCTCACCATCCATCTCCATGATTCCAGGTTCTGCTGGTATGCCAACTTTTGTGCCCAGTGTGGAGCATAGGGGATACAGTGTTTTCTCTGAGTTGGAAGTTGGGACTGCCAACTGGTTATTCTTAGCTCATCATGGC